CCCAGTTTTTTAATCAAATCCATCTAGAGAGCTGAGCTGGAAAGCCACGTGGGAATTTTTTTAATATATTTTTTGCTATGTAGGATGACCCAATGATGATTTTGCATGGGCTATACATGAAAAAGACAAAATTATTTAAAAAAATTAAAAAGGTTAGAGATTGAGTTTTAACCGAGTTACTTAAAAATTCAATAACTAGTGGAGGAATTGAGTTTTAAGTGAGATATGTATGTATTTGAAATTGATCAAATTTATTTTTTTTTTTTATGGGGAAGGACATGTGAGGCACACAATAAAATAAGAGCGAGAGGTACATTTGACCTCATTTGCCATTTGGTATGAAATAAAAAAATGACAAAAATGAATGAAAATAAAATTTATTTCCTCTCATAGATATGAGAATATCTCTTAACAAGACCATTTTATAATTTATCAAACACAATAAAAAATACTTTTCTCTCATAATGTTTTTCAAAATACTTTTGTTGGTGCCTACCATTAAAGATTGGACGGCATGCATGTGGCATGCCATGTGGAGAATACGTCATGTTGTCTCAAAGATATAAAAGCAAATCAATCATCAAATCAAAAGAAAACATGCATGCATGTAGTCCTTACTTTAAGGCCCTTCCAAAATATTTTAAAGATAGAATGCAAATTAAAGAAAAGTGTGTGTGTGACTTTTGCTTTTGATTAAAGTTTTTTTAGTGGGGTGTGAAATATGGGAAATGAGTCTAATGTGTAAAATTTGTGATGTTGAATAAAGTTTATGAATTAATTATCAGAAGTAATGGCCAAAAGTGTTGGTCTAACATGGAAAACCCCTCTTCATCTATATCTTTTTATATTTTGTTTTAAGTTTTAGGTTAATACTATGTTTAGCTCCTTAAAGTTTGACCTCATTTTGTTTTTAGTATCTAAAATTTGAAACTAATGATTATTGTTTTTGAAATTTGATATCATTGTGGACCTTTTATAGATTTTTTGTCCCTGGTCCTTGAAATAAAAAACCACTAATTTTAAATTCAATTACCAAAACCAAAATAAAATTTAATTTTAAGAATTAAACATAATATTAACTTTGATTTTTTGTTTTCATTTTATTGTACTGGCTTACAGTGGTATCAGAAAATTGTGGTAAAAGATTTTGGACCTGCAGGCAATCAAAAGTTGCATTCACCTTTGACACATCTAGAAACCTTTTGACACTCTGAAAAAATGCCAACAATCATATATATTAATGATCAATATGTTGATAGCTTACCAAAACTTTTTAAATAAAATAACAATCTATTTATTAAAATCAATGAACTAATCCAGCTACATATATACATATTAATCATACATTGTATTAACATAAAAATATTTAACATTTTTACACATTGATGATTATCCCATCAACAAATTATGTACGTTTATTTACACATTCATGCGTCATATCTAAACTCTGCAGGTTTCTTCAAGAAATTTCTCGAAAGGATGAAAAAAAGCAACTGACAATGGGCTTTAGGAAAGTGTGATGTGGCTTTTATTTCATTTCATTAGACAATAATAATGGACCCTTTAACTAATTAAAGGGAGCAACATTATTGTAAATAAATTTATTATTAGCGTTTAGTCAAACTTCAACATCATAATAGATCTTTATACCATATTTATAGTGCACGTCACCATCATTCTCATTTTTTAAAAAATTTTACTCATTTCAATCCCAACGCGTAGATTAAGGGCAAAGCAGACACAAAATAGTGTTATAAAATAGTGTTTTACATATATATATATATATATATATATTATAATACACAAGCTAAGCATCAATAATTGACTTGTTTTACTAGGGTGAGGTCAATGACCCCGTTTTGATGAGACAACGTTCCAGAAAGGACTCTAGGTTTTGGATTCTTACTATTATCTTCTTGTGTTATGTGTAAAGTGAAACTTTCGAAAATAATACTCCATGCCCTCTTAAATTTAAAAACTAGTTAAAAGATTTATTTTAGTTATAAATATAAGATCCTACTTAATTTTATCTCTCAAATGCACAATTTTCTTCTCAAACTATTTTTACTTGTTACATATATTACAAGAGATTATATTAATATGGGTTAAAAAAATATTAATGTAGGTAACTTTCAATGCTGATGAATAGAAGATATTTTAGAAGAATTAACACATATTTATAACAAATAATTAAATTAGTTAATTTTTTAAATCTCTATAATCTAACAAAAATATTTAGGGTTAGAGCCAGTATTAATTTTTTTTGGGTCTAATTTATGCATCAATTATACTCTCTCGAATTCACAACTTCGCATTTAAGATATACTTAAAGGATTTTTATTTTTTTTGGCTAAACAATCAGAGATAATCTTGTTTGAGACATTATCTAATACTCCCTCCGTTCCTTATTATAAGAGACATTTGATGCTTATGGTATGTTTCTATATATAAGAGACATTTAAAAGTTGTCTCTATTTTTTTGTATTGTTTTACCCCTATTTATTTTGTTTCCAACTCATACTCTCTCTCCCTCCCACTTCTCTTTCTTTCAATAATTTAATTGTTCTATCTCATACTCTCTTTCCTTATTAATGGGGGTATTGTTGGAAAAAACATTATACTTTTTACACATTAATTGTCCTCAACTAATTTTAACTGTTTTTTTGATCAACGTAATTTAGTTATTTGTCTCTTATAATAAGGAACGGAGGGAGTACTAAATATGAGTACTTATTTCAAAAGGGATTCGAATATTCATTTACTATGTTGTATGCTGTAAAGGACTAATTTTTGTTCGCCCACCCTCTTGGTTAAAAGAGGTATTTGGTATTATTGAGATATAGATAAACACCCCACACAAAGAGAGTATTGACTTTACAATGCAAAATATTTTCCCTTAAATAACTGATCCGGTTCCCCAAACAAAGAGAGCATTGACTTTACGATGCAAAATATTTTCCCTTAAATAATTGATATGGTTCCAGGTACCAAATTGGCATGACAAGTGCAAATAAACGTTTAACCTTCCTTTTGTCTCCATTAATACTTTTTCCCATTAACTCATTTATTTAACAGAAAGGTTGATTTACTCTCCTATTCCTAAACAGAATCACATAGTGACAACACATAAATGTTAGTAGATCATATTTATTTTAAAAAGACTACACTCATTCAATAAAACAATAAATTACATACACTATAACCGATTTCCTTTGCCCAAACAAGTTATTATTATTATATACTCCTCCGGTCTTAATTATAAGACCCAATTGACTTATTTGAGGAGATTAAGAAAGTAAGTTAAGTTAGTTATTTATAATAAATAAATGTTGTCATTCCTAAAATATCCTTGCTAATTAAGTATATTGGCTAAAACTATTATTATTAGAAGGATTATCTTGGAAAAAAATGCATAAATATAAGAGACAAAATGGATTGGGGTCTTATAATTAGGACCAAATAAAAAGTCAAATGGGGTCTTATAATAAGGACCGGAGGAGTATATACATATAGTATTCAAGATATTTTCAAAATTATTAAAATGATAATAATTAAAATATTTATTATATAGTTTACTAGTGTAGGATTATAAAACTTATTTTAATTAAAATTAAATTTATGACTCTTCAAATCAAAACAGATGACAATATCGAGATAAAATTTTAGATAATATATTTTTTTAAGAACAAAAATAAGAAAATAATTTATAGTAAGTGGAGTAAGGAAGAGGTAAGCATGATGAATATAAGAGAATTATGTGGTCCAGGTTCTTCTGCAAGAGATGTAGAAGAAGAAGCAATAATAATTAGCTTATGAACATGAGAAATTGCTTTCAAAGCGGGCAAACATTGAATTGCCCATAGTACCCACTTGATTTCCAAGTTTTGGAACCTTCCTATGAACCTGATAAGCACTGCATGTACTTAAAACAAACTGTGATGGCCTTATTTGTGGTCTCCTTTGTTTCCAATCTTGAACAAGGAGTTTTATTGTACTTCTATAAAATATATTTAATTATAATTTTATTATATAGTTTCAAAAATTAATTATGTTTTAGAAAGTGAGTGATGTGAAGTAAAGAAAAAGAATGACTGTGTACTACCACATAAACAAGTTAACTATTAATTATTAAAAAATCCATAGTGTTGTCAATATGTCATGATCTATTGTCATTTCTTACAATAGGTTTTGTCATTGTATGCTACTCATGCGCTGGGGGACTTTTTAGTAATTAGATTGTTTATGTGGAATTTCAGAGTACTATCCCTAGAGTAAAATTATTTCTAAGAATCATTTATTCTATGTACGCACATTTCTTATGTGTTACCTATAATCCCTAATATAAGAGTTGGACAGAGATTATATTTGGTTTTAAATATAATACTTTAATTTACTTCATCTCTCGTATTTTTTTTTCTCAAATTAATTTACTTAACTTATAAATTGATATATAATTTAATGTTTTGTAGGAACATTTTAAGGATATCATGTCATATTGCTATACTACCCTGGTCCTATAAGATCCAATTGACTAATTTGAAGATATTAAAAAAGTCAAAAAAATTACATTAAAATATTATATTTATTGTTTTTCTTTGAGCTAATTTGTTTGGCTTATAAACTAGTATATAAAATAATGATACATATAACTATTTTAGATAAATTATGCAACATATGCTATAATTAATTTTTTAAAAATTTTCTTAATTTTCTTAAATTAGTTAATTACATTTTATATTAAGGATTGAATATAGTAGTAATTAATTAATTAATTTATCTGACTTTTTTTCCTAACATATTCAAAGTAATTAAGTTCGAGGAATCTTAACTTCTCTTTTATGAAACATATGATAAGATCTTCTCGTCACGTCCCTCTCTCGTTTATCATACGCAAGTTTGATCTCAAAATCCCAAGTATAGGATGAACTGTAGAGTAACCAAACCCATCAATGGAAAACTCACCAGGAAAAAAAAAATAAACAAGGAACACTCATCCCACAAAAAAAGAAAAACAACAATTAAACAATGCAAACATAATGTAGAAGAATCTGTACATATATACCAAATAAGAATCACTGTTCAAACAAAGCAAGCAAGGTTTAAAAAACAAAAAAAACACAAGATACATGACAAATATAGAAGCAGTAGACATGTAACATCTCAGTACTCAATACTACAAAATCAGAAGCTGACATGGCAGGGCCAACCGGACCGGACCGGACCGGACCGGTTAGATCATGCGGCAAGTGGCTGTTGCCGGCTTTGTCCATTGTTGTACGTATCATAGGGCTTCGTGGACTTGTTAGACTTTCTCCTCAGCACAATAATCCAAGTGATCGCTTCTAAGAACAAGGCAATTCCTCCCAATGCAGCAATCACTATAATGTAGGTTGTCTTCCATTTCTGTTCAGGTCTCAGGATGTCAAAACCTCGGAATATGTTGATGATTCCGAGGATGATCACAGTGTATCCCATGCTGTGGTGATAGATGTTCCAGTAATATCTATACTTGTGATCCTTCTGCGGTCGTATGAACAAAGCAAAAATCTGGGAATCCAAACAGCAAGAATTTATCAGAATGAATGACAGACACACACAATTTCACTGTTACATTACATCCTTTGACATTATTAGCATATTACTATGTTCCATCCATCCATAGTTCCTTCAACAACCCAGAAACTGACTAAAAGCTAAAACACTTTATAAATTGCTCTGTTCCAGCACTTTATGTGTTTGGATAGAAACCAAACCATAATTTTAAAAATAATTTTACGATATACCAAGTAAATATATAAAAAAGTTTGTTTCAATTTACAGAAACGTGTAGGATATCCAAACACTCTCTAAGATTCAAAATTCTCTCAAATACACACAAAAACCTGGTTGAACCAATACAGATGAGAACTAGTAATTTTGCAGTATCCAATATAGTTTTGTCAGGTTTTGAATAGGGAATTAAACTATCAGAACATTTTTTTGCTTTCATTCACAAAACTCAAAGACAAGACACTCCTTGTCAATAACCTGGCACCAAAGATAAAGAGAACTGAGGATTTACCTGTAATGTGGCGAGACAGAAGGCGGCGATGCCGATGTTGCGGTGGCCGGAATATTGGATTGCCTTAGATTCGCTTCCGAGCTTAAGACCGGTGGCCCAGCCGGCTACTCCGATGGCATAAGCAGAAACCTGGCAGGAAGCATGAAGATAGAACCAAGCTGGATCTGCAGATGGGAAGGTTCTCAGATACCGTGCTATGATCGCTCCAAGGGGAAACAGAATGCCCCAGCTCACAGCATTTAGTACTCCATGAATCTGGAGGTATTTCAGGAAAAAAAAAAAATCAATAATTTTTGGTGAAATATCATCAATTCATAAATAATAAATAGGTATCAACTTCAAAGCAAAAATATTATAGATCAAAAACTTTGAGTGAAAATCAGGAAAAAAAAAAAAAGAACCTTAAATCCCCCATAATAGATAACTATCAGATGCTGCAAGTAGTAGAGAAGATCTTACCTCTTAATATCTTGAATTTTTGGTCGTTTTAGATTCAGTTCCTGATCATTATTATAGATTTTTTTCCCTTATAAAAAAATTAATCGGTAGTCAAAGCTCAGTCACCTGGTTACCGGAGGAAGGAGACCAAGACAGAGTCAAAGGTTATGTTAAAATTCTAATCAACAAGTTTTACTGAAATTAAAACATTTTTCCTTTGATTTTCAACCGTTGCTCAAAAGAAATTCATTACTTTTCGTTGAGAATAGCCATTTCTATCTTCTTCTAAAGAGATGCAAAATCAAATCCCATTGAATGAGACAGCACAGCTAAAACAAATTAATCAAATTAGAAAAACCAGAAAAATTCATTTCATCAAATTAAACAATAATAATTAAGTGTTAATTAAAGATTGAAACTCACGTTCTTCTTCTTTGTTGTTGAGTCCACCCCACCACTAGTGGTACTCTGGCCTCCACTCAAGCTCAGAGTACCTTTCGATTTCATATTCGCCGGCGCAAAGGCATGCTGATCCGGCATGCCGTTGGTGACAGAGGGCCCCATCTGCCACACATGGCTCAAACTATCCTTCTTTTCCGGCACCTTAATCTTCGCGAAGATCATCATGAGCCCACCGGATTCCTCTGCCTTTGTGTCCCAAACGTCGAACGACAGCTTCCCAGGTACTATAGATTGGTAGGAGCTGATGTTGTAGGTCTTGACGGTCATCGCGCTGCTGTTCTTGAACGCGATCAGAGCTTGAGCCCCGACCATGCCGGCACCGGTAGGATTGATCGCCCACGAGACCCACCCTTTGGAACTCGAAGGAGCGGCGACGAAAGCGACGGCGAGAGAGGAATTGGAGGAATTATAGGTCCAATGAAGGTATGAAGAGAGTAGAGGGAGATCTATACAGTTTGAGTATCGTTCGTTGCTTCTGAGTTTCTGCGACGTGCAGGTGAGTGAAGCGACGGGCGTGAATAGCATCATCGTCGCCGTCGAACACAACGACAGGATGAAAAAGAAGGAAGTGGAGAATGGCGGAGACGCCATTGGTGGTGGTGGTGGGTGTGTGAAGTTGCGTTCCGATTGGCGGTTTCTAGAGGGAGAGAATCTGAGTGTGTGAGGACCAAAATGGAAGGGAAGTGGGGGGAGAGAGAAAGGTAGATGCACAAACTTTCGAAAAGAGGCGCAACGCAACGGGGAGTTTAAGGAGGAATAGGAACCAGAGGGAATGGTTGGGTGCGGGAAGTATCAGAAGAGATCAGGTTTAGTTGTGAATTGGAAGATGACACGTGGAGAAGTTGATGTGATGCGGAACTTTCGGGCGTAATTTTTTTTTAATGAGGATTAAATAATGAAAGCATCAATATTAATAATAATACTCCCTCCGTTCCTTATTATAAGAGACATTTGGTACTCATAGTATGTTCCTAAATATAAGAGACACTTAAAAGTTGTCTCTACTTTTTTGTGTTGATTTCCTATTTTACTCATATTTATTGTCTTCAACTCACACACTCTCTCCTTCCCACTTCTCTTTCTTTTAAGAATTTACTATTGTTCTCTCTCATGCTCTCTCTCCTTATTAATGAGGGCATTTTGGAAAAAAAAATTATACTTTTACACATTAATTGTTCTTAATTAATTTTAACTGTTTTTTTATTAACGTAATTCGGTTATTCGTCCCTTATAATAAGGAACGGAGGGAGTAATTGTTTTTTGGGATAAGGTGTTTAAATGCCCAAAAATATTTTCGAAAGAGCACTCGCATCTAAAATTTTTTTTGGCTCTTATGTGTCTTAAAAGTTTATTTTCGTAGTAAAAATATACTAATCGTTGTCTATCGTTAAGTTTAATCATTGAATTATACAATTTGACTAGTGTCTTTAATGGTCAAGTTGATAGCGCATAATGGTTCAAGACAAAAGTGTTACAAAATAAAACTTTTAGGACATATAATAATAAGAAAAAGCTTTCAAGTTCTAAGTATTCCTAAGGGTATTCATGAAACCCAATAACCTGGTATGCCGGGCCGAGCCCACAAAAAAAAAAGCTCTACCTAGCCCAAAAAAACAGTCCGAAGAAAAAATAGGCATTTTCCAGTTGGGCTAATTATAGGTAGGGTTGGGCCGCAGACAAGGCGTGCAACCCTTCTCATTTGGCCATACTCGAAATATATATAATTATTTATATTATAATATATATTTTTTAGAATTATAATATATATATTGTAATATTAACATATTTTATTTTATTATTTTTCAATACCCAAAACAAACATTACTCCCTTATATTATTAGACTTTACATTTTTAAAGTTCTAATTTTTTTAAAATACACCACATATTTTAACTTTTCTGAATTATTTTGCTGTGTACTATGATTGTTTTTTAACTTTTTCAGGTTAATATTACTTCACATGTCATGGAATGATACTAATTATCTAATTTGAATGTAATATATAGATCTCTATAAATTATGTTGAACCATAAGTTAATAATATAATTGAATATGTTAATATAGCATGTATTCGTTTTATATGCTTCATCATTTTCTCAAGTTTGTAAAGATTGATGGAAATCATTTTATCTTTAAGGTTTTAATTACAATTTTTTTATTGTCTTGTTTTTAATAATTATGGATATTGTTTAATTTTTGAAGCATGGATATTTGTTAAAACATATGGTAGTATTTTAAATTTCATGACTCAAGTTGTAAATTTAGACAAAAAAAACCTGTCCTACCCAGTCTTATTAGACTAGCTCAAAATAGATAGGGCTTCTACCAGGCAGGTGCAGCCCGTTCATCTTTCGGGCTGGGCATTAGGGGGTCCTGTCCTGCCCAGTCCTGCCTATGTACACCCCTAAATATTCTTTTATGAATACTTCTTGAATATTTAAGCACCTTATCCCTTGTATTTTTTACTAGGATTAAATAATGAAAGTATCAATACTAATATTAAATATTAATGTGGAATGTGAAAAATACAGAAGGTTATGCACTTATGGCTTATGCTATGTAAATTTATTTTATGTTATCTGCATCATATGAAATCTATTATTATATTATATATAAAATGATGCAAAATTTAACGGGTTAAGTTAAAATATTTCAAAAAAAATTTCTATTGTTAAACGTTAAAATAAAATCGTATTCTAAGAAGTTTGTCTTTCCTTGAAAAATTTTATTCTTTCCCAATCTACTCCCAACTAAATTGGGTGTTTTTTAAAAAGTTAAAATATCATGAAATTCTAAAATTACCTACAACATTTGAAGACAGACTACAACCTATCTACCATCTAAGAAGATGGGGAGGATCACAATTACTTCTTACATGCTCTCAATAAATAACTCTAACGCTGGCATCTGGTACACACATATTTTTATATGACGCTAATATTTTGAAACTGGGTTAGAGTGCATCAAACACCCCAAGTAATTTTTTGAATGTATTTTAGTGTGTATAATATCTTAAAATATTTTAAGATATTGGATGCTCTTGAAAAATAATTTAAAATGTTAGGTGCATAACAAAATACTTCAGGTGCTGAGTGCACATAAAAAACTATTTCCGAATGCATCTTAACCCTTGAAATTATTATGAATTATAATTATTTATAATAGTTGTAGAAGTATCCTTCCATATTTGTTAAGACCACTAACTTTTACAAAAAAGTATAAGTATTCTCTTTTTTTTTTTTACAAAATAATATTTTGCTTTTCACTTTATCCTTTTTTCCCCCCGGAAATGGAGAAGGGAAAATTGCAAATAAAGACCCCTCAATATATAAAATAGCACTCAGAGACCCTGAATTTGAGAAATTGCTCACAAGGACCCGGTCCCAATTTGTAATTATGAAATCATGGTCAAATTACCAAAATACCCCTCTTTAATTTTTTTTCCCAAAAAAGAACCCACTGCCTCGGCAGGATTCCGGCGGCCTTCCTTTTTTTTTTTGAAACTGTTTTTTTTTAAAAATTGGTGGGAAGTGAGGTTGGGGGGATTTGATCCCCCAACCTCATGCTTCCCAAAATTAGGAATGACCATTGAGCCAACAAATTTTTGCTAACATTATAATACAAAAAAAAATATAAGTTAACTCATTTACTCTTGTTCCAGGTGATAACAAGAATACATTTGAAAATAACAAGTTCTGATTATAAAATAACAAGTCTAGGATTAAAATTTAACAACACGTTTTTCTATAACAACACACTCTTTTTCAGGTGATAACAATAATACATTTGGAAATAACAAGTTCTGATTATAAAATAACAAGTCTGAAATTAAAATTTGAGAGCACCTTTTTTTTATATAACAACACATTTTATTCCAAGTGATAACAACAATACATTTGAAAATAACAAGTTCTGATTATAAAGTAAGAAATCTAAAATTAAAATTTAACAACACATTTTTTTATAACAATTAATTATTTTATACTTTTGAAAAATAAATTATTTATAACTTATAAAAAGTATTTTAAATCTATTTAATTTGCTAAAAAATAATTTTTATCTCCAATTTATAATCAAAACTTGAAGTGTAATTTATTATAGATTAAAAATACTTTTTTATTGTTCAAATTTATAAATAAAATTTAGGGAAAATGACAACACACTTTTTAATTTTTTTAAAAAAATTTTTAATCTATATATCTATACAACTCATTATAAATCAAACTACTTCTTATAAATTATAAATAGTACAATTTATTGTAGATTAAAAATACTTTTTGATTGCTTAAATTTATAAATGAATTTATCTCTAATTTATAATTAAAAATAATATTTTTTTCTTTAAATATAAAAACTATTTTTAATATTTAAAGAATGAAATAATAAATTATACTATAATATTTAAATACTTAATAATAAATTTTAATATTTAAAGAATGAAATAATATAAAAATTATAATGAGTTGTATAGATATATAGATTAAAATTTTTTAAAAAAAATTAAAAAAGTGTGTTGTCATTTCCTAAATTTTATTTATAAATTTGAACAATAAAAAAGTATTTTTAATCTATAATAAATTACACTTCAAGTTTTGATTATAAATTGGAGATAAAAATTATTTTTTTAGCAAATTAAATAGATTTAAAATACTTTTTTATAAGTTATAAATAATTATTTTCAAAAGTATAAAATAATTAATTGTTATAAAAAAATGTGTTGTTAAATTTTAATTTTAGATTTCTTATTTTATAATCAGAACTTGTTATTTTCAAATGTATTGTTGTTATCACTTGGAATAAATGTGTTGTTATATAAAAAAAAAAGGGTGCTCTTAAATTTTAATTCCAGACTTGTTATTTTATAATCAGAACCTGTTATTTCTAAATGTATTGGTGTTATCACCTGAAAAAGAGTGTGTTGTTATAAAAAAAAACGTGTTGTTAAATTTTAATCCCAGACTTGTTATTTTATAATCAGAACTTGTTATTTTCAAATGTATTGTTGTTATCACCTGCAACAGAGTGTGTTGTTATAAAAAAAAACGTGTTGTTAAATTTTAATCCCAGACTTGTTATTTTATAATCAGAACTTGTTATTTCCAAATGTATTGTTGTTATCACCTGAAACAGAGTGTGTTGTTATAAAAAAAAACGTGTTGTTAAATTTTAATCCCAGACTTGTTATTTTATAATCAGAACTTGTTATTTTCTAATGTATTGTTGTTATCACCTGCAACAGAGTGTGTTGTTATAAAAAAAAACGTGTTGTTAAATTTTAATCCCAGACTTGTTATTTTATAATCAGAACTTGTTATTTTCAAATGTATTCTTGTTATCACCTGGAACAAGAGTAAATGAGTTAACTTATTTTTTTTTTTGTATTATAATGTTAGCAAAAATTTGTTGGCTCAATAGTCATTCCTAATTTTGGGAAGCATGAGGTTAGGGGATCAAATCCCCCCAACCTCACTTCCCCCCAATTTTAAAAAAAAAAACAGTTTCAAAAAAAAAAAAGGAAGGCCGGCGGAATCCGGCCGCCGGCATCGGAGCTCCGCGGCCGAGGTGGCGAGCTCCGGCGGCCGAAACTCCGGCGCCGGCGGTCGGATTCCGGCGAGGCAGTGGTGTTCTTTTTTGGGAAAAAAAAATTAAAGAGGGGTATTTTGGTAATTTGAGTATGATTTCATAATTGCAAATTGGGACCGGATCCTTGTGAGCAATTTCTCAAATTTAGAG